TGAGCGTGACCCCTGAATTGCTGTCTGGCTTCCTATCAGTGATACGATCTCTTCCTTCCATACACACTCCCATAGTTATGATGCCATTTGCCTTGAAGTCCTCACCAGCTCCATGCCTGTGAACCTCTGGAAATATAAACTAAATAAACTTGTTTTCTTTATATAGTTACCCAGCCTCAAGTATTTTGTTATAGCATTGGAAAACTAATGCATTAGACTTGAGACATCAAGGAAGATACCCTGAAAGAAGTCTGCCTTGGCCAAAAATGGAAGGATTGTTTGGAGTTAGACTGGCAAGGGAGTTGGGGGTATAGGGAGAGGAGAAGTAGTCCCAGCAGAAGGTACAACATTTGTCACAATCTGAAGGCTAGAAAGCATGGAATGTTGATGGTGGTAAAAGACATCCTGAGGCAGGTTAGTAAATAGGGAAAGGCACCAAGGCAAGTGAGACTTTTCCCAGTGCATTTCATACTAAACTCCTTATCTCAGCCCAGTGCCATCCTTTCTTTTCAATTGTAAAATCTTAGCAGTCTTCTTCAATTGTAAATTCTTTGCAGTCTGAAGACAGGAAACCTTTGGGGCATTCTGCCCTTGATTACCTCTCAGGTAAAAGCTGTCTGCTTAAAACATGAATGTGGATCATACCTCATGCATGCAATTAAAATACCTGAGAGTTAGCATTAAGTACATGTACTGAGTCCCCCATGTTGTATGATGACCTTGTCAATCAAACCTGTCAGTCACCCTAGCCCATCCTACAAAGACTGCCCAGATTTTTCACAGTGTTGGTCCTTTAAATTTATAAAGGCCCTTTAAAGCAAAGACCAGCTCTTCTATCCCACCTTGCCAGAGCCCACCACTGCTTTCTCTTGAGGTGCCTTTTCCTTACTTTCAGTAAATTTTAGTATCTCTTTCACTGCATTTTTGTGCCTTGCCTGAATTTGTCTCTCGCAGAATGTAAGAACCTAGGAGTCTTCTGACCAGAGACTGCAGAGAACACCTATCCGGTAACATTTCTATATGGCTAGTTTATAAAGATAGAGAGGCAAGAAGTGTCTGGATAAGTGAGTCATCAGGTTAAGGAGTTTAGACTTTATCAAAAAAAAGCAGTAAGCAACAATTAATCTCATATAGGTACTTATTAAAATATTTGCTACTTTCATCAGAAAAAACAATCACATTGTAGTTTTGATAAGTAGCAATGAGAGATAAGACTTACATGTTCCAGGATTCAGAAGAGGAAGATTCAGGTATGATCTAAAATGGTCCTGTGATCTCGTTCTTTTACAGTATTGGTCTTTATATTATAGACTTGTGCAGGCAATCCAAAACCTATGAACTGCCTTCACAAAGAGGTACTATTACAAGTGTGCTCAATATGCCCATAAAAACTAACATTGAAGTCTAATATCAGTATATTATCAGTCTAAGTTATGGATTCAGGTGTTTTATATTTTTTGGTATACTTGAGAGTCAGAAGTGAATAAAGTTTGAATTAAGCCCCTCAAATAATTACCATGTTCCCCTACCTCTATCTCTTGAAGCTTTGTTTTATAATATACAAGAATTATTAATATTGTGTATCCTTTAAACACACTACATAAATATTTGCCAAGTCTTTAAGAGCTTTTGGTGGATGCTTCCTGGCAAGTGGATAGAGTTCAGCTCTTGTGTTTGTTATAAATTGGAGCCCTGGCCCTTTAGATGAACTAAATGAGAAATTCTTTTCTTAAAGAATTGAGGACTTTAGGAACGTTAGACTAGGACACCTGTATGCTCAGAGTACTTGAGCAAAGTTAAAATTCCCTTTAGAAAATAGTTCTGGTTTGCCTAAAATCCTGATGAATACATAGTTGATCCTTCTGGGTCCTATAGCATCTAGCATGGCAATGATAATTTTAACAAACAGTAGGCCTTCTGTATTTGTGAGATAGACAATCATATATTCAACCAACCATGGAATGAAAATATTGGGAAGAAAAATTGCATCCATCCTCAACATGTACAAGATTTTTATTCTTGTCATTATTCCTGAAACAATACAGCAAAACAAGTATTTACATAGCATTTATATTGTATAGGTATTATAAGTAGTTTAGGGATAGTTTAGAGAATACAGCAGGATATGAATAGGTTATATGCAAATACTTTATACAAGGGACTTGAGCATCTATATATTTTTGATATTCATGGGGTCCTGGATACTCCGCCCCTCCCCAAATGGATACTGAGAGGCAACTATGTAATTTTAAAAGGATTTATTTATTTATTTGTAAATAAACTTACTTAGCTTCTAAAAACAAAACAGTAAGATTGCCAGATGTTTAGCTTTGATATAATACACCTTCTTCATATACCTTCTAAGGGTGTGTGGTAAGCGTTTACTAATGTGACCAAATGAGGTAATTTGCTGTTTGACACAATCAGCTTTAATTCAATTCAAATAGTGACTTTAATCATAGCATAGTAGTTCCACAGCCTTTTTTCTGGCAGTATTGTAGACAGCAGAGCCAGTTATCTATCAGGGCAGTTTCTAGACCATATTGATAGAATCATATGGTCTTCATGAGTGAGACTGCTTATCTTTCTAACTCAGTAAAGAGATACCAGGCTGCTAAGGAATGAATTATTCCCTTGGCAGTTAATCACTGTCTCCTCAAAAGGACATCTCCACCTGCCTCTTGTCTGTATATGGAGAAATTCTGTATGAGAAACTATCCTTAGAGATCATTCTACAAAGTGTGTTTTGGTGGACTTGTCTAACTTTATATTGACTTATCTTCTACTTACTGATTCACTGAAGTTCTTCATATACTCTGGATACTGTTTATGTCATTCTTAGATACATTTATTACAGATTTCTCCCCATTTATAACTTGTCTTTTTATTTTTAATTAAAAACATTTTTATTATTAGAATTTTCAACATAGGTTAAAATGTAAAAAATAGTATAATTGATCCCTGTCCATCCATCCCTCAGCTTTAGCAATTACTGACATTTTACCAATTTTATTTCTTCCATTTATGACTTTTCTATAAAGGAGATTGCAGATATCATGTCATTTTTCCTTTAAATCCATCTTATGCAATATTGAGTGGTAAAGGAGTTTTAAAAAAATACCACCATGTTATCACATCTAACAAAGTTAATAATTCCTTAATATTCAAGATTTCCTTAGTGTCCTTCAAATTATTTTTTGTAGTTGATTTATTAGGATCAGGAACCAACTTCCATGCCTTGTAATTTGTTTTTTTTAGCTTATGAGTCTTTGAAGTTTGTTAATCTCATAAGTCTCTTTTGTTTTGTAACATATTATACTCCTTTCCTGCCATTCGTTTATTAGTGAAACTTTGCAGTTTTCCTGTGGAATGTCCCAAATTCTTGATATGACTAAGTGCTTTCTTGTAGTGTTATTTATCTTGCTCAGTTGATCCTTTATATTTCTGGTAAAATGGTATTTAGAATTAAAGACTTAAATACATTCAGATTGAGTTTTCTTTAGGCAAAAATATTTTCTAGATAGTATGTGTGTTTCCTAATGAACAAGGCCTTTAAGGTGGTCTCACTTTTAGTACTGATAAATAAGGTAAACCAGTGGATTCTTGTCAGGTTGTATCATCTTGATCCTTCCACTATAAACTTCATTACCCACCTTTCCCCTATAGTGTTAGTTTCCATCAGTCATCTCTGCCTGAAGTCATTATTTTTTATCAGGAGTTTTATAAAGTGATGATTTCATAATTCTATTTTTTTTCTCCATTTATCTGTAATTCTTCTATAAGGAACTACTATCTTATCAGTTACTTGTGTAAAACAGTTTTTTTTTCAGACAATATAGGATGCATTCATTATTAATTTTTCTCAGTATTAAGTTGCTGTCCTTGCAACCTCCCATAGCCAAAGTACCAGTGTTCTGACCGTGACCACAGGACAGTGTAAAGAGGGACAGAAGATTCCTGTGTATGCTGTAGGTTGCTTCACAGGAGAGGAACTCAGAGTTAGAAAACCTCAGTCTTTTTTTCATGGGCAGTGACCATGTATGCCCCTTTGCTTAGAGGGAGACACTGTATCTTCACATTGTATCATTATGTAAACACCCTTGAATAGAGTCCAGAATACGGGGCAGTCAGTGCCTCACTTTGCAAGATGAGCAGTAATATGAAAAACTTGTGGAGAATTGTCTCTCATCCGTGTCCACCCCTTGCTTGTATATAATCTTGACTTCTGGAAATTTTTCCCATGAGTATTCTATACTGTCAGCCCCTTTGATTAATCTGGCTGACAGTTTGGGCTTCATTTCCTTCAATTTGTCTCACACAGCGTTTAATTTAGGTTACTCTCTACAGGATTCCAAGCAGGAAGATGAGATTCAAGTCTCAAGTTTTGGGGAAGCAGGCTGATACCTGCTTTCACAAAAGAAATACTACAGTTTTATTCTCAGATATTAATCCAAGAGAAATGAAAAATAAGTGCTTAAAAAACCTGTGCAAGAATGTTCATAGCAGTTGTATTCACAAATCCAAAAAAAATCAACAGGAGAATGATTAACCAGACTTAAATACTCATACAGTGGGATACTAGTCAACAGAAAAAGAATCAGCTATTGATACATTGGATAATATGGATCTCAGAAACTCTATGCTGAGTGAAAAAAGCCAGACACAGATATTAATGTGAATACATGATAACAATAATGCAAACTTGGCATTTTCACATGTTGCGTATCTCTTCCCCGACAGAATTTAAAATCAAATATTTATAAACATATACAGTCTTTCATACAGAGGTAAAAGTCCATGCATCAAACCTTCCAAAATCAAAATTATATGTTATCATTTCTGTTAAATTTAAGACACTGTAGGTTTTGTTTTTAACTTTTATTCATTAAATATCCAAATAGATGACTTTAGCCATCTTCTTGGGTGGGGGTGGGGGAGCTTTGTTATTAGATCAGAAGAAATAAGTAATAGTAATTTATCTTTTCCCTCTTCCTCTATAGAATGACAGGCAGAGAGTTTTTCTCTCGCTTCCCGGAACTCTATCCTTTTCTTCTCCAACGGTTGGAAGCTGTAGCCAATTCAGTGGACTGGTAAGAAGAGAATAGGGTGGAACAAAGTGAAGTCAAGGTTGTGAAGCACTTTATTAATCAAGTTTTTTCTTCTAGTCAACAGTTTTTGATGAAGTTCTTCCTTATAAATTTGATTTTTTTTGGGGGGGACCTGTTTTTTTTTTTTTACAATTACATTGTGTTTATATAATAGATACAAACCTGAAGCGTTGTATAAATTCCTGTTTTTATATTATATTACACACCTTTTTTTTTTTTGCAGTACTTGGGCTTGAACTCAGGGCCTTCACCTTGAGCCATTCCACCAGCCTTATTTTTGGGGAGGGATTTTCGAGATAGGGTCTTGCAAACTATTTGCCTGGGCTGGCTTCGAATTGCAGTCCTCCTGATCTCTGCCTCCTGAGTAGCTAGGATTACAGGTGTGAGCCACCAGCGCCCAGCTATATTCTACACTTTTACATTTCATTTTATATTAAATTTTATCAAATTTAATACAGTTTTCAGAGTTACATAGGAATCATCTTAGAAACACATGGTGATTTCTTTTGTTAGAGTTAGTTACTTATTTTTTAAAATCTGTGTGTTTACATACAGAGTTTACTTAATGGATACCGTACATTTTTTATTACTAGCCTGGTGAACCTTACCTTTATAAAACTATAGCCGTTAGCTGACTGATCTGGTCCCCATGATAGAAATGGTAGGGTGGTCTGTGTGAGCAAAAATGAGTAATGGTCTTGGAAACACAAAGCAGAGTTGTTAAGAGGACTTTTACTCTCACCAGAGCAGATAGGAAAGTTTGTCATTGCCCTTTCAATCACACTCTATAGCTGGTAGTGGAATTTTTAGTATGTACATCTTAGAACATCTGTTCTTGTATTCCAGCAGCTTTGTATTTGGTGTGAATGATATGAATTGTCTGTAATTGGAAAGAAAAATGAATTTTTCTGTTGTTTATGATACATTTCCTCATATTAGTAGTCTAGCACTGACAGACTTTTCTAGCCCTAGTAAGTGACAGTCTGTTCATACTTTCTTAAATACATTTGGACGTTGAAAGTTTCGTATTTCATACTTGGAACAGCACATCCATTGAAGCAAATGATTAGCTTTGAGAAAAGGATCATGTGCAAAAGTGCAGTCCTGGTTTCACCAGGTTTTCCTTATGATGCACATTAAAAAAGTATGAAGTGAATAGAGAAAAATAATGACAAAAGGAAAACTATCTCTTTGATGATCAAGAGTCTCATTTCATACACATAATTATTTAATGAGAAAAAATGTTTGTAGATAGTGTCTTGCTTCTTAAATTTTAAATCTTTTATGTACAATAATGTTTTTCAGTGATATGGGAGAGCCAGACCGTCACCCAAGCATGTTCCTCTTACTTTTGGTGTTGGAGAGACTGTACCCTTCTCCAATGGATGGCACATCTTCTGCTCTCAACCTGGCATCTTTTGTTCCCTTCATTATAAGGTAGTGTCGTGCTATATCAGGAACGAAGTGGGGACTTTATGGGAGTATTTTATCTTAATCTTATTTTAGAAATTGTGATCTTTTCTTTTCTTTTTTATTTTTTACTTTGGGAGAGATTATGTGAAGGCAGGGAGTACTTGAGACTTACTGCCATTGCTCCTCACTGGTCTTCCCTGTTTCAGAGGAAGGAGCTTATTATACGCTACTGTGTACGTAATGTTTTCCTTGGAGACCTGACTGCTAATGAGTGTGTGGTATTGAAACGGTACTTCACTTTTGAATAACATAGCTTGGGTGTTTGTGTTACTCTTATTTTGGGCCTGGCCAGTATGGAGAAGGATTGGTCTTGGTGTATATTCCCTGTCAAGCAGTTTAAGAGGATATCAGAACATCTAGCCCTTCTCTTTGGAGGAGTCTGCTAGACTATGCAGAGGTACAATGTTGATGGCAATGCCATGTGGCATGAATTCCAACTAATCTTCTCTTTTAAGCATAGAGTACCTGAAAATGAACCTTATGCATGGAATACAATGGTAACGGGCTTTCCTGTGTCTGGAGTCTATTATCATGGGCTCTGTTACATTTTTTGAGGCATCTGCCACCTTCTGCTCACTTTTTTCTTTTGGAATAAGCAACTTAATCAGTAGACTTCCAAAAAGTATACACATTGTCTTACTAAGTATTTGTTAAGTCTATCATACTAGTTAGCTTTTATCCTTTTCCATTTACCACTTGACAAAATAGCACCTCCATTTTAGAGTATCTACCAAAAATTGAAATGAAGTTGGAGCAGAAATATAAGAATACCAAACTCAAGGAGTGTGTTTATTATTTATGTGGTACTCTGGGTTCTACTTCCTGTTTCACAGAGCTGACTTATGCATTTTAATGTGAGAAACCATTAAACATGAGATTCTGACATGTGATTACTGTGGACATTTGTTTGTGCCAACCCCTAGCTGTGGCTGTGTTATCTTTGATCATAGAAATGACTCACTCAGGCTGGTTTTTGTTTCCTGATACACAAAGTTACCAGTCTCCCTCATCCAGCATTTGGTGATTCATTTTAGGAATTTGAGTGGCAAATTTACTTTTAAGGGCTTTAAGAAGTGTTCTCTTTCATGAACATATGGGGGGAAAAACCCCCAAAGAAATGGTCTCAGCAGTTAATGCCAGTGGGGAGGAAAAACACTTCCAGAGAATCACAATATACATTAAAAAGCATCTCATTTTCAGAAGCCTTTTACTAATCAATCTATTTTCTGTTGTATCCTAGAAGCCAGGAATTACTACATTTGCAAGTATTCTTCTCAACCTAACTTGTTTATATGTAACCAGAAGGTACATGTTATTTCTATCTAAAGCACCTATTACATAGGTGCATTAGTATAGAAGATTATATTAATACAGAGGGCTTCAGTAGTACTTTGAAACCGCTTTTTAAACTTAAAAGACACAAAGCTTGCAGTCATTCATTCTGTACTTCTGGTGAAATGCTTGGTCGTTTTGTTGCCGTCTGCCTAAATATAGATTTATAGAGTATCACCAGCAGCAGAAGTCAGTAAACTCTGATTCATTGAGTGTCCATGTGTGGCATAGAATAATGTTTCTTAAACTTTAAGATGTAGACATACTACTGGGGAATTTTGTAAATTCTTACTCCAGATTTGGGTTGAATCTAAGAATCTGCCTTTCAAACAAACTTCTAGGTAATGTGATGCTGCTGGTCTGTGAACAACATTTTGAGTAGCAAGATTAAATTTGAGATTTTAAGCTTGAACACCATCAGAGCCATACACATAAAAACAATAAATTGGACAGTAGTAAGGTCATACTCAGATTATGCTTGGTTAAACTATTTAAGGGGTTTATAAAAATAGCTTTTAATTCAGGGTTGCAGAGAATGTGCAAAGAAGTGTTTTGAGCAGATTGGTCAGTAGAAAGTTTATTGAGCCTTGCTTTTTTTTTTTTTTTTTTTGCCAGATACTGAACATTTTACTTACCATGACTCTGAGAGAAGGTGATTTCACCCCCGTTTTCCCATTGAGGAAATTGAGGTTCAGAGAATACTCCAGTTACAGGGCTAAGATTTGAACATAAGAGTGCAGGACTTTGTTAAGAGTGTTAGATATACGCTATCTTTTTTTTTTTGAAATAGGGTCTTGCTGTGTAGCACACACTGTTCTCAGACTCACAGCCTTCCTCTATCTGCTTCCCTAGTGGCGGGATTGCAGACATATACCACCGTGCCCAGCAAGATGTTCTTTTTCTGTTGCTCCAAAATAAATAGCTTCCTTTTATGTTGCCAAGCACTTCAGACTCCTTGGATGTGCCTATGAGGCCTGAAATTTATGCAGCTAGCAGATGAGGAGCCTGTATCCACAGTTGCTACATCCCAGTATAGGCTGTTTTTAGATGTGGAAATAATGTCCCCACCAGGGCTCCTCATTTAGTTTTCTAGTAGTATATTTTGGCGATTGGATTATTCAGCCATATGTGGTCAGACACACATCTATGGGGCAGTTTCCTAGGATAATGGGGTTTAATCTCTGGACAGTTGATAAAAGGAAGGCTGGCTCTTTCTTGACCATCTTCTGCAATAAAGTGGAAGGAGATTAGACTTAGAAAAGTCAGTTTGGGTTTCCTCAGTTTGCTACAGAGACAACCTACACTATCCGACAATGTTCACTGGAGAAATGGACTATAAACAAATTTTAAAAATTAAGAAAATGAGGGTTGGAGGTATGGCTTGAGTGGTAGAGCATCTCCCTCACAAGCACAAGGGCCTGGGTTCAAACCCAGATACCATTTTGGTACCACCAAAATGAATGAATAAATGAATGAATGAATAAATAAATACATAAAAGTAATGTTTAAAAACAAATAAAATCAGTAAATGCAGCTAAGGGTGTGGCTATAGTGGTAGAGGGCCTGCCTAGCAAGTGCAAGGCCTTGAGTTCAAACCCCAGTATCACTAGAAAAAAAAATTCTTTTTAAAAATAGTAAATATGATGAAAGTGTACACATTTGGTGTAATGACTTCTGCAAACATTAGTCATGAATAAAGTGAAAAATTGGTCCTAAAACCTGTTATTCCAAGCAGTATTAGTGCTTCCAGTCATGGTGAAGATTGTCCTGTTTGATTTGGGATAACGGGTAAAAAGATGGATGTGTGTGCATAGTAAATGGATGGTGTTTTATCTTTGTAGCATTATTAATGGTAACACACAGTACTTGGAAAGCCAAGCTCAAAGATACTGTGAGTTTAGCTAAAGAAAAAATTTCCAGCTAGTGGGAAAATGCAAAGATTGCTCTGACTGCACTAAAAGTGAATAGTACAGTGCAAAGAAAAGCCCCAACGACAGCCTTCTATTTCCTTTGATTTAGGTATACTTACCTGCTATTTCCTTCCTGTCTGTATTAGTACGCATTATTCATGTTTTTTGGTCCTTTATTGCACATTTAAGACTCTATCCTAGCTTATTTTTCCTGTTAATTTCTTGATTGACTTAAATCTTAGAAATTACTGATCTGGATTTTCCAAAGTTATTTGTGTGTGTGAACAGTTAGGATTGTTGCATCATCTTGGAACAGAAATGATAATATTAATCCCAACATCTTGTTTACAATTTTTTGTTGTCTAGTTTTTGAAGCAAGGTCTTGCTATGTAGCCCAAGCTGGTCTCAAACTTGTGATCCTTTGGCCTCATTCTTTCTAGAGCTGGGATTATAGGTGTGTGTACCACTATACCTAACTTACAATTTTTTTAAATCCAGTGTATTTTATGTGCCTGATGCTGTGCTGGTTACAGATACACATAACCCTTTACCATTAGTGTGGTGCCTCCAGCTTAAGACTGTTTACTCTTATGCTGAAATAACAAAGCAGAGTGATTCCTGTCTTAAACAGAATTCCAAATGGCTCTTTGGGTACAGTTCACCAATGCCTGCTTGTCTGGGAGCTTTCTAGATACTAGAAGTCTTCTCAGAGACTTTAAGTGTCTGCATGTGCATCTTTGAATTCTTTTCACAGGCGAGCTTTTCAAGCTTCAGCTGAAGAATTGTACGAAACCACATAGATCCCAAACCAAGGACCACAGAGTCCTGAACAGAGCAAAGGCCCAGGACTCAAGAGACTTGGTTCTGTTCAGGCTGTGCCACTTGCAGGTTCTGACACTTGGATAAAGCTTCTTCCACTTCTCTGGGGAGTGCAGTGCTCTGTGTATATGTGGGATCAGCTGAGAAAGTACCTCTTCCTGCTGAAAACAGAGATGGAGACCTCAGCAGCTCATTAATATCTGTGGGAAAAATCCTTTCACTGCCTTTCATTTGGTTTTTTTTTTTTTTTTTGGGGGGGGTCCCTTAAAAGATCCTCTCCCTACCCACCCCTGACCTATTCCTGATTTTGTTGTAAATGACTTGCAGTATTTCTTTTCCCCACTTCATTTTAGTCATTGTTCTCATTGTTTCAGTGAAATCTGCCCTTTATTTCCTTATACTCAAGTACAAATAGCAATACACGTTAATTAAACATGGGGTGACAGAAATCACATATAAGGACCTATGCAGTAGAAACTTTTTTAGTTGAAATGTGAAAATCTGATTCACAAAGAATGCAAAAGTATATGTTTTATACCTCTTAAAGATATTTCATGGGCTGGAGGCATGGCTTAAGTGACAGAGTACTTGCCTAGCAAGTGCAAGACCAGATCAAACCCAGGTCCCCTCCCCCCACCCAAATCATGGAACCCTTGGGTTTTCCCAGTCTTACAAAAGAGGAGGGTGAGAAAATAAAAGAAACAAGAAAAATAAAAATAAAACAACAACAACAACAGAATGCAAGGGAATGCAGAAATTGAGATTTGTTCTTTTAAATCTGTGACATTGAGAAACAATATTGATTCTTGTTTTGTTTTCCTTGAAAGTTGCATAATTAGGGATTATCATTTTACTCCCTGCCCAGGCTATGAAGTGAAACAGCTTGTTTTTCATGGTGGAGAG